GCCTCACCGTCATTTTGCCACCATGCGTCAGGAGGGTGTACTCTCTCCTCTTAGCATTCACCTCAAAATCAGAATAGTAGTGGGCAAAGAACTCCTGTCGGAAATTCTCCCAAGTCACGGTCCTGCCATACTTGCCCTTAGCTCCATCCCACCAGGTGGACGCCATCCGCTCAAGCAATCTCCCCGCAACCCTTAGTTTAAATTCGGGGGTGAGTTGCAAATCAAGGGCTGCTTCGTTCAACCTCTTGATCCATTCCGCGGCAACCGAGATGTCACCCGTTCCATTGAAGGGTTTGCACCCCAAATCTCTCGCTTCCTTGATATATTTTGAGATCCTTATGATCGGACCTCCATTACCCCGGCCCCCATGTGGTTCAATGTGGGCCCTAGAGTCTCCATGGCTTCTTCCTCTTGAAGCCCCACCCGAAGTTTGCCCTCCTCGGCGCCTTCGGCGTTCCCTCCTCTCTTCGCGCTCCCGCTGGTATTGCTGGAGCAGTGCCTCAATTCTTGCTAGGGAGTCATTCTCCCCATCTTCATCACTTACGTCATTGTCATCCCCTTCGTAAGGGGTCTCAACCGGCTCGGTCTCCGGTTGGTAAGTCGAGTCCTCATAGGACCAGTAGGTCTCATCCTCGGTGTCAACATGACCGTCGCTCACCGTGTGCGATCGGCCTCCACGGTTCGCCCCTCTAGACACTCTAGAGGCCCCACGGCTTCCCTGTCCGGTCACCACCGGTGCACGGCCCGTCGGGTTCCTTCTCGTAATCTTGCCACCACCGTCCATTTCTGAAAGAAATTTTGGAAAGAGTCATTAGACTCGTATCAAATGTCAATTGACGGATAGGTACTTAAGACACTACTTGGCTCGAATTTCCGCCATACCAATTGCTAAGGGAACCATCTTAACAATTAGAGACCTTGCAACTCAAATACCAAAAGTCTATAAGTACAAAACATTTATGCTCATGGTTTTCAAAATCATTTGGAAAAAGAGAATTTTGAGTCTTCATTATGAAGTTTATGGAACCTGGCTCTGATACCAATTAAATTGTCACGCCCCGGACCTATCCGGACACGTCAACAACCCGCCGTACAATACGAATAGTCAACCGCAGTCTAACTCATCCATATTATACAAGGTGTCTCGAATATCATTCACACATAAGTCATCCATAAACATACATAATAAGTAATTGAATACGCAGCGGAAAACATAGTTTGAAAACAAATGCCACACGAGGCAAACATGAGCACGCAGGCTCCATAATGAAAAAAAATATCCATGAGCATGTTTAAATGTTTAAAAACAGAATTGGAGGAAGCACGAACCAAGTCTTCCCTCCGAGATGATTGTCCGATCAACAAGCACAGGTAGCAAGCTCTAGCCTCAACTTGAAATGGTGGTGGGACGCCACCCCCCCTGAAAGGGGGTCAGTACTCTATACGGCTATAAAGTACTGGTGTTAGGGGTTGACTCGGGCTGGGCCAACCGGCCCGGACTGGCCCGGTGAACCACTTGGTTGGCCGGTTCGGGCAACACGGCCCGGTGGGATCTCGGTTCGGGCCCTTCAAAGGGTGAACCGGCCCGGCCGGTTCGGGCCCAGGCAGGGACAATTTTTTCTTTTGAATTTTTTTAAGTTTTTGGGTTGGGCTGGGTATTTTGGGCCATTTGAGGTGGTTAGGGTTGGTTTGGGGGTGAGGGGGAGGGTTGGGGGTTAACTAGGAAAAGCCCCCCAAAAAAAATATAACCGAGGCCCGGCACGGCCCGGACCGGCCTGGACCTGGGGGTTACCCGGGCCGGTTCCGGGCCTCCCATACCTTGAACCGAGGTCCGGCCGGTTCAAGGCCCGAACCGGGCCCGGCCCGAACCGAGTCCATCCCTAACTGGTGTGGATGGCATCTAATAGATATACAACAAGTATTTCAAACACAAGACCCTCAAATAGGGTGATAATATAAGCTAGGTCATAACCCCAAGTTACCCCTTTTCAAAATATACTTACTTTATATATAAAGTCAAGTAGTCGGCCCGTAGACCCAAGGTTTTATTTACGAAATATAACCCAAACCCCGTGACCCCTAGTCACGACAATACATAGGGTTCAACCCTAACACATATATTTGTATTTCTCGAGTCCAACTCGACTACATCACCATGCACCTTATATAACACAAATTAACTACTCCACCGTGCATTTCTTGAGTCCAACTCAACTACATCACCATGCACATCACAGGCTACAGCCTCATATCTCCCATGCATTTCTTGATTCCAACTCAACTACATCACCATGCATGTCATCAATCACCACGTCATGTCTATCCAATGCAATTCTATGAGCACGGGCTCAAGTACATCTCCTTACATTGGCATAGACCCCAATTCCTAAGCACTCACTATGCCTAGAATTGTAATATCAATAATCTATTTTGGGACATCCTCACGGACTGCCTCATTCTGATCTTACATCATATTACATCAATTTAGTCACTTGCATCACAATCAAGTACAAGAATTACAATCAAATCCTTGGATTCAATTCCTTAACAATTACATCAATCCTTAACTAGTACTTCAATACTATTAAGATTATTCTTATCCGTCATTTATTCCATTTGTAAACCCCTACATATTTAGAGATATGTAGCAGCAACTTAATCATCCAATGTAATACATAAATAATCATTTATGTATCTACACAATTCACACATGAGCAAAATGCCTATTTAACACAATAGTTCATTTAACTCCATTTTTATCAATACATTTCCAAATCATTTCTCATTTCATTCTTTGGAAAATATATCAATATTCCATCAATAATTTATCATCATAATCCATGAAAATCATGATTTAGGCATTTAGGTAATCTCATGCTTAACCTACAAGTTGTAAGCAACTAGATGTCGATCCTCACCTTAAATGAGCTTTAAACCTTTCCTTCTCAACCCAATACTCAAGATTCGGCCAAGGGGGTTAGAGAATTGATTCCTTGATTATAAATGAGTGTTAAACATCCTCCTCAAAGTGCTAGATCCACTCCTAGGCGAACACACGAAAACAGCCCCTAGAACGGGTGTTTTCCGGCGAATTCGTTCCCTAACCTTTCAAGGTTTTGTCTAGGTTAGTATCTAACCTTTCCAACAATTAAAGTTGCTTCATAATAACATTTTATACACTTCAACCAGTGTATAATATTTATTCAATCATTTATATGATTTAGACAATAGAGAGGAAGGTTTTGGATTCAAACTTACTTTGAATACCAAAAACGTATTCTGCGAGGTTTCGTTGTGTTCGTACTATTTGGAGGCCTTAAACTGTTCCGTTTTCTTCAAACCGCACGTCTATGGATTCCTCTTTTCTAGAGATTTCAGTGGGCATCTCACACGCTTTAATTGGATGAGCTAAACGCAAGATATGAGTCGAACAAGAAGGCTTACGCACCTGGAAAATATCCTGCGGCCAGCTCTCCTATCTCCCTCTAGAATGGTTTGTGCGGCTCTCCCTTCTTCCTTATCCCTTTGAGTTCGAATGGGGTGAGGGAGAGGTGTTTAGGAGCTCTCAAAACGTTATCTAAACGTGTGGCTCACAAAAAGAATGTAGGATGTTTGATTCCAATCAAACATGGGATGGTCCTCCTCATTTATTACTTTTTGTATTGTTTGAGCTCTCAACTCAATAGGTCCGCCCCATTTATGTGTTCTAACTTATTCTACCTGTTTTGCAGGTGATAGGAAGGTGTGGGCTCCCTCTTATGTCCCCTAATTAATTTGGGTGCAAAATATCTACCAATACTTCCAAAAGTGGAAAGATGGGTCCATTGTTTTTGTCTTTTGTCATAAGATGTACTTTTGTACTCATCCCAATTTATTTAGATCGAGTCAACCTTCTACATCATATTATTAATCTCTAATATGTGTAGGATGGTCCCAATAATTTATATGATGTATAATTATAAAAGAAAACCCTACTCCCATTATTTAGCCTAATAATGCCAAAGATGGGACCATATACATTTGTATTCTTCTCCAATCATTCTATCACTTATTTATGATATTAATACTTATATAGCTGGGCTACTAACCGTGTGGGTCACCCTCCAGTGGGTGTAGGACGCCATTCTTGGATAATTGCTATTTTTAGCAGGTTAGGACCAAAATAACATTTGGGCTGCCCGACCGCTCTTACTATGTACCGAGGGGCTGTATATATTTATTTAAGAATGTTGGGTCCCAATATCAATAAGATGGCCCAATTAATTATTTGGACGTCCGTTACTATTATACGAGCCCAAACAGAAATACGATTAATCATACGCTACGTAAAACTTTAATCGATTTTACAATTGTTCAATAATAGGGAAATTCAATACATAAGCTTTGGAATAAAATTTGAATTTCAAGGACGTTCGGGTAGGGGTGGACTCGGGCCGGGCCAACCGGCCCGGAACCGGACCGGCCCGCCACTGTGCGGGCCCGGACCGGCCCGGGAACCGGTTCGTTGGGCCGTTCGGGCCACCCGGCCCGGTGGATTCTCGGTTCGGGCTCGGGCCCTTCAAAAGGTGAACCGGCCCGGCCGGTTCGGGCCCGGGCCGGGCCAATTTTAATTTTTTTTTTGAATTTTTTTTGAGTTTTTGGGTTGGGCTGGTTATTTTGGGCCATTTGAGGTGATTAGGGTTGGTTTGGCGGTGAGGGGGAGGGGTGGGGGTTAACTAGGAAAAGCCCCCAAACAAAAAAAAAAAAAAATACCCGAGGCCCGGCTCGGCCCGGCCCGGCCCGGACCCGGGGTTTACCCGGGCCGGTTCCGGGCCTCCCCTTCTTGAACCGAGGCCCGGCCGGGCCTAGGCCCGAACCGGACCCGAACCGGACCGAGTCCACTCCTACGTTCGGGTGCGGTGTCACAGGTTGGGCGTATAAGCGCGTCCTAAATCAAAGGGTGGTGCTAATCTAATCCCCCATAAGACCAACAAGGAATCTCCCTACCAAGGGGGAAAATACCAATAGTAACGAAACACATACACATGCTCTCATTATGGAGAAGAAGGTCACTCAAAACAAAGATGCTATGAAATCATTGCATATCCTGACTGGTGGGATATCACAAAGAAAACCTAGAAGAAGATAGGTCAAGCTACCATAGCTACATCAAATAATGAACTGCTCGTTTCCATCGTTGCTCACATGAAAATAGTGGATAACTCTGGTGTGTAAATCAATAATCATGTTTCAAATAATAGTCGGGTTATTGACACAGGTGCAACAGACCATATGACAAATAACTCCTCTAAACTATTATATGTGAACCCCCTAAAACAAACTAGCATCCACACCGCTAATAGAGGAGTAGCACCTGCTATAGGAGAAGGTCCAACAAAAGTGTCTAGCTATATGAATCTTGATATTGTCCTTGTGGTCCCTTCTTTATCATCTAATCTTTTATCCGTTAGTCAAATCAGAGAAGCCTTGAATTGCTGTGTGGGTTTTTCGCCTAATGAATGCATTTTCATAGTATGGCGAGTTGGCGACTCATCGGATTCTTGGCTATGGTATTCGACAGGGAAGGTTGTACTATCTAGAAGAACATCCTCAAGGTCAAGTTCATCATACTGGAATAAATCAGGCAAATAATAGACAGTTCGATGTGAAGAATGCTTTCATAAATGGGTATTTGGAAGAGGAAGTGTATATGGATCCTGCCCCTGCTGGTACAAAGTGCGGCGGAAAGGTGTGCAAATTAAGAAAGGCATTATACGGGCTGAAACAACCCCTCCCCACCTGAGCATGGTTTAGTCGCTTCTCAACCTTCATGAAATTGTGGTCCCAGGAGATGACTCAGATGAAATGTCAAACCTCCAAACTATTCTCACAGTTGAATTTGAATTGAAGGATATTTGTTACCTAAAATACTTCTTATGTATTGAGGTTGCCAGATTAAAAGCTCGAATCTCTATGTGTTAACAACAGTATTTGCTGGATTTATTAGCTGAGACAAGGATGTTTAATTTCTGGCCAGTGGATACCTCGATTGAAGCAAATCACATACTGACCATTCATAGTGATCAATTAAATTCCAACGAATAAAGACATGTATAAAAAGCTGGTAGGAAGGTTAATTTATTAATCACACACACGACCAGATATAGCCTATGCCGTCAGTGTTGTGAGTCGGTTCATGCACTCTCCAACTGAAGACCATATAGAGGTAGTGTATTGGATACTGAGGTATTTAAAAGCCTCACCAGAAAAATGGTTGTTTTATGCAAAGAACCAAAGTCACCAAGCGAGTGGATATACGGATGCACATTGAGCTAAAGATTGGATGAATGGGTTAATCCGCATCTAGATACTTCACCTTTGTAGGAGATAACTTAGTCACGGGGAGAAGAAAAAAACAAAAGGTAGTTGCAAGGTCAAGTGCAGAAGCGGAATATCAGGAATTGGTTCATGGTGTATGTGGATAAAATGAATTCTTCGAGTTCTCGGAATTGAATCAAAATGGTTCGATTAAACCACACTGTGATAATCAAGCAACAATAAAGACACCCAACCATTCGGTTAAACGTGATAGGACAAAACACGTCGAGATTGATTGTCATTTTAGTATCATCTCAAGAAAAGGACCATTGAACTACCTCACATTTCAAAAGACCAGCTCGTGGATAGTATAACAAAAAGTAGTATGTGGAAGAGTGTTTCAAAGCTCTCTTTGAAAGCTCGGAATGATAAATATTCATTCTCCACCTTGAGAGGGAGTGTTGATGAAAGCTAATTTCCAGGATTTGTTTTCGTTGTTTAGAATTATATATTTATTCTTCCTTAATTAGTGGCCATACCTTAGGCATGTACCTTAAATAGTTGCAATATCTTAGAAAAGTTATTATTCCTTTCATGTATATATTCTGACTCCATTATAAGATGAGTATACGAACCCTTCATGTAACAGAGTCTCTGATCAACTGGCATAACCTCTCTGAACTTAGATTTTGTAAGTAAAGTTGACTATGTGTGATTATGAAATCTATGACGTGAGCATGTGAAAGCCTTTATCCCCGGGATTTGTGTTGTGATTGATGAATTATAACGTCTGATCTATGAGTTGTTATTGTGAATAATACTTGTACTGTTATTATGAAATTGTATTTGTGTTATCTAAATTATGAATGTTGTTGGGGAAGCGTATTGTTTTGTTGAATGGTGTTCTTTGGGAAGTATGCTTTCAAGGTAGGGCTTTGCAGATATATGGGTGGGTTTAGTCATGGAATTTCTTCGTGTGATGTCTTACTCTGTTCGTTTTGATGATACAATATTTGGACCGAAGATGGGTCTTCATCAAGAAGATCCACTTTCCCTATACTTATTTATAATCATTGTAGAAGGTTTAAGTGCAAAACTGAGGAGAGGAGAAAAAGTGGACAATCTGCAAAGGGTGGTAATGTCAAGAGGAGATTCAAAGATGTCATATCTTATTCGTTGAAGATATCTTCCTTTTCTTCAAAGCATATCATAGTGAGAGACCATTGCTAAAGAAAGTTCTTAAAGACTATGTGACATGTGATTAATTACCACAAATCAACTCTCTCCTTTAGTTATATACTCTAGTGGGTAGAAGTAAATGGAGGTTTTGGGGTTCATTATAGAAAAGCTCATAAAATAGCTAAACTATGGGAATCACAAATTTTTGTCCCCGAGGCAAGTAGAGAGGTTTTGCTGAAAACTATACTTCAAGCCATTCCTAATTATACTGTGATTTTTTATCCATAATGAGATGTGTATAAATTTAGAGAGGATTATGAATGACTTATGGTAGACGAGTTCACATAGGCAAGGAATCTTGGGGTGGTTTGAGCACTCCTAAGAAAGGCGGTGGGATGGGTTTTAGATGACTGAATGATTTAACATGGGAATACTAGGGAAATACGCTTGGAATATCTTCATGGAGCCTAGTTGGGTTGTAGCAAAAGTCTTACAAGGTGTTTACCCCCCCGTTCATTTGTACGAGGGTATTTGGTAGACCAAAAGCTTTTATTGAAGAGAGTTATAAATGGAGGGTGGACAGAGGTAATTCGATTAAAATATGACATGACCCATGGCTCCATTACTCGATGAGATAGCGGAGTCTACAATGGTCCAGGGGCTAGAAAGCTATTATGTAGGGGTGAGTTGGGATATTGATGTTTCGACCAATTTGCAAAATAGAAAGGACATTTAGTACCAGATTGATTGATTTGACAGTGGGAGGACAATCGGTAGATATTCGATCAAAACTACCTACCGCTCCAATTGATGTGAAGCGATGCAAAGTCGTCATGACTGGGTTAAAATGTTTTTTAGGCAATATTGTGTTGGATGTTTATCAACGAACCTGCCCTTTGTGTTCGGTGAGAGTTGAAAGTGTGTTTGGAGATTGATGAAATGGATGTTTTTTCGACTATTGGAGACTCATAGTTCGGTGTTCAAAATCAGCAACAAATGACATGACGTTTAAGAAGACTTCTACTCCTCTTCTTAAAGTTGGGTGGTGTAATGCTCAGAGAGCAAAGCAGGACGCCAAAACTGAAGCTTGGGATTTGGGTGAAGACAACTGTCAAACACGTGAAAGTGAACATTGATGCTAACTTTAGTTTGGGATGGAATAGTGGAGTATTTCTAGCTTGGGGTGCCATTCATCGGGGGAGAGAATACGCACTTTAAAAAGAAGAAGACACAAAAGTAAGATAGAGATAAATAAATATAGGCTCAAAGGGTTAAATAGGCCATGTATCTATCAGTATTATTCAATTTGCCCCTTGAACTCTAAAAAGCTCTAATTTACCCTCTGAACTTGACAAAAAAGTTCAAACATCATTTTTTGTAAGTAAAAGTTCGGTCACTGCCACATCACCCGATTAGATGCCAAATAGGCCCCTGAATCCGACAGAGATGTTCAATTTGCCCTCTTAACAGTTAAAAGTGTAAGAATTGTCAAAAAAAGAAATTAAAAAATAGAAAATACAAATATAAAATAAGATACAAGCCGAAAGTATAAAATATAGGCATTTATTAAATAATATAAAAAGGATATATTTATACTCGCGGTAAATTCATAAAAAATAAACAAAGAGAAATTTATTAAAACTATTTTAATATTTTAAATCTATTTTTTAAAAAAACAATACATGTTTTTACAAATTAAAATTAAATTTTTATTTTGTGTATTATATGTAATAATTGGTATTATAAAGCATATTTTGGTTTTGTATTGTACAATTTATGTTATGTTTATATTTTAGAGTTGTATTTTTCATTTGATACTTTTTAATATTTTTATTATGTTTTTGATTTATATGTAAAATTACACACACACATGCATATATGTATATATACTTTGTATTATTTTATTCTAGAATTATATGCTATACTTCATATCCCTATCAGCAATAGGTCTTCCCTCCCTCTTCTCCCTATCTCTTCTCCCCACCCCTCAATTCTTCTAACAGGTGCATCACTCGGTCTTCTACGCACATGTCCAAATCACCGCAAACGAGACTCCAACACCTGGTCTTCTATAGGTGTTACTCCCACCTTTTGTCTGACTATCTCATTCCTCAAGCGGTCTTTTCTGGTATGTCCACACATCCATCGCAACATACACATCTCTGCCACACTCATCTTTTGAATGTGACATTGCTTAACCGCCCAACACTCTACACCATACATTAATGCAGGCCTAATTGCGGTTCGATAAAATTTACCTTTCAGTCTAGTTGGCATACCTCAATCGCATAGAAATCCTGATGCACTCTTCCATTTCATCCACTCAGCACTGCTTCTGCGTGATACATCTCCATCTAATTCACCGTCCTTCTGAATTATGGAGCCCAAGCAACGAAACATATCACACACCGGTATCTCCTTACCATCAAGAGTAATCCCACTATTGTTACTAATTCTACCTCCACCAAACTTGCACTCCATATAATCAGTCTTGCTTCAGCTAAATCTGAATCCTTTGATCTCCGATGTTTGTCGTCATAGTTCCAACTTTGTTTTAACACCCGATTGCGTCTCATCAACCAATACAATATCGTCGGCAAACATCATGCACCATTGTATATCTTCTTGAATTGAACTCGTAAGTTCATCCATGATTATATCAAATAAGAAAGGACTCAGAGTTGATCCTTGGTGCACTTCGATAGTAATAGGGAACTCTGTGGTCCTCCCTACACTAGTACGGACACTTGCAGTACATGCTTCATACATATCCATGATGATTAACGGCACTAAAGTCATTGTGTGTCTCAAACTAAATTCAATACTAGTACTAATACGTAGTATAGTGAAGTCGAGTTCGTATCCACACGGAAAAGAATACTTTTCTTTTATGAAACTAGTAATTAAAAGGGGTGATTTTAAGGTTGATTTGATTTAATTAAATAAACACTAAGATGAACGACTTATAAACACTAAGATAAAAGACTTGGCTTTGCTACTTTCCACTTGTTGATATGTTTGTTGATCCCGATTATATCTATAACTTATCCCCTCTCGAATACTCAATCGAGAAGTATCTCCAATTCATCGAGGGTAGTTATTAACAAAGACCATTCATTAATAACTCTTACTATTAACCAAGTATAGAACACCGTCATATACCGACTTGATAGTAGCTTCTAATCTCTTAACTCCTTAATGAAATCAATTGAGATTGATAACCTCAACACAACGGTTTCTGTTTAACCAACACCCAAGCCTATGAAGTGTAGTGCGCCCTTGCATATTTGATACCAGGCCACTCCCAGGCGGAGGGATGACACGTCGCTTACGAGCGACGACCTAGTTGATGCACACTATAGATTATTTTCCCAAATTTTAAAAATAATATATAATTCACTCAATACTTACGTGACATGGCTCAGAAATAGAGCAAAGATAATCTATCTTATTGCTACGAGTGCTTATTTATCTAAATTGCATATGAAATATTCAACTCGAACATTGTTTAAAGGAAAAACTAAAAATAATAATCCCAACTATTGCTGATCCGCTAACAATAATCCCAACTATTGATTATTTTTGTATAATCCCAACTATATGGACCGTCCGCCAATAATGGTCTATGACCGCATATTACCTGCTCTAACTAGTGAATTATTAATAGAAATTAAGCGTAAAAATTAAAATTTGGGATTATTTATAGGGATTACCTGCTATATCTCTTTAGAAACTATAGGAATTTATTTATAGTCGATCACGTCGGACCATTATTATTGGCGGAAGGTCCCTAAAGTTGGGATTATTTTGAAATAATCGATAGTTGAGATTATTATGAGCGGACCGCCAATAGTTGGGATTATTACAATCAATTTTTTCTTGTTTAAAAACAATTCACAATTTTCATTATGTATATAGGTTGAGTTTCGACCCACCCGAGCCGTTTTTCTGGCTCCACCACTAGTCACGCGCCTACCACAACACCCTCCCCTTTATCCTAGCTTGGGACATGCATGATACCAAAAAATGATCTCATGAGGGAAGCAATTTGTTTGATCAAGGAAGGAGATTGGGAGTATATCAATGTGGGATGAAATCCGCTTTAGCATATCATGAGTATTACGGAAGCTAAGGCACAAACAAGTCAACATTTGGCATTATATTTTATACTTCTCATCCCAATTTATAAGATACTTTACGGTTTAGGATGTTTGACCGACGATAAAGCAAATTGATCCTTGTCAACACTTAAATTAGTTTTAGAAAATAAAATTTACGTATTCAGAAACTACATTAAAACCGCTACAAAACCTACAACAAATAATTCAAATTTCATAAACTTTTGATATATAAAGTAAAAGATTAAGAGTAATTTATGTTGACCAAGTGAATAGTAATTAAATGTATCTTACAATTTGGAATGAGAGAGTATGATATTAAAGAGTTACCATCTAGTATCACTAGTGTTAATTTTGTTCATGTAAAGCAACCCCGAATCGGGTAGCTCACGATCTAGCTAGGGCTACTAGTTATACGTTTGATGGATATTTTGGCACCAATTTCCTTCGTGTATTCCGTTATCCTTGAAACACGATTTTTTTATTAGTTTGATTCAAATTTTGTTAAAAAAATATTAAATCAACTAGATGTCAGATCTAACCCATCCTAAATCGAACTTGACAAAAAGCCGAATTCAGAAAAGTTTTGGACTTCACAGACCTACCAGATGCACACCCGACATGTATTCTCCCCTTTAAGAAATTAAAACAACATTCCAATTAGGGATGGACTAAACCGGCCCGCTACTGTGCGGGCCCGGACCGGACCGGGACCGGTTGGCCGGTTCCGGGCTTTTAGCCCGTTTATGCGGGTCAGACGGGCCAGGTTCGGGCCCAGTTTTGGGCGAACCGGCCCGGGCGGTTCAGCCCGGGCCCGGGTCAATTTTTTTGTTTTTTCAATTTTTTTTCTTTTCCTAGGGTAGGGCTGGGTGTTTTGGGGAGGTTTGGGGGTGGGGGTGAGGGGGGGGGGGGTCGGGGGATAACAAGAAAGCAAAAAAAAAAAAATAGACATTGAACCGGGTCCGGCCTGGCCCGGCCCGGTTAGGCCCGGACCCGGTATCAACCCGGGCCGGTTTCGGGCCCAAGGATTTGCAAAAAAAGTCCACCCGGACTCGGCCCGGAACCGGAACCGGACCGGCCCGGGTCCATCACTAATTCCAATTAGGGGTGGACCGGTTTGGTCCTGGGCCCGGCCGGGCCTCGGTTCAAGAAGGGGAGGCCCGGAACCGGCTCAGGTAACCCCCGGGTCCGGTCCGGGCCGGGCCGGGCCTCGATTCTATTTTTTTTTGGGGGGGCTTTTCCTAGTTAACCCCCAACCCTCCCCCACACCCCCAAACCAACCCTAACCACCTCAAATGGCCCAAAATGCCCAGCCCAACCAAAAAACTTAAAAAAAATCAAAAAAGCAAAAAAAAAATTGGCCGGGCCCGGGCCCGAAATGGCCGGGCCCGTTCACCTTTTGAAGGGCCTGAGCTCGAACCGCCATCCCACCGGGCCGGTCAACCCGAACCGGGCCCGGAACCGGTTCACCGGTCCGGTCCGGGCCGGGCCTGCACAGTAGCGGGCCGATCCGGTTCCGTTCCGGTTGGCCCGGCCCGAGTCCACCCCTAATTCCAATTAGGGGTAGACTCGGGTCCGGGTCGGGCCTAGGCCCGGGCGGGCCGGCGGTTCAAGAATGGTGGACCCGGGACCGGCCCGAGTAGCCACCGGGTCCGGTCCGGGTCCGGGCCGGGCCTCCGGTTTGGATTTTTTTTTTTGCTTTCCTAACCCACCCCTCCCAAACCCCCCAAACTCATCCTACCCATCAAGCCCAACCCGGGTGGAACCCCAAAACTGAAAAAAAAAAAACAATTTGGCCTCGCCCGGGCCCGACCCGGCCGAGCCGGTTCACCAAAATTGAGACCCGAGCCCGGACCCGCCCTACCCCCCGGGCCTAGGCCCGACCCGGACACGGACCCGAGAACTGGGCCGGTCCCGCACAGTAGCGGGCCGGGTGGCCCGACCCGAGTCCAAGCCTAATTCCAATACCTTACTAGCACAACCACAAGTATTAAGAGTTTTTACTTAAATATTATTGAAATGATAAAAACTATAGATAAAAGTTGAATATAATATTGAATATAATAATAATAATCAAAAGACTTGCTATTATATTCATTAAAGTTGAATATTTTTATCCACTACTTTAACTTTAATCATATACTCAACATTATTTCCAACTACAAAAAAAGTCACTAATATATAGATTGATAACATAATTTAGTATAAGTATCTCATATACGGTCAACAACAGTATCGATTATCATTGAATGACACTTTTGGGTGTCCCAAATCATAAATAACCTTTTCGTAAGTCATTTACTACGTCTTATTTGGTAATTCCACAACCCAAAAAAGGTGGAATCGCCCATCTAGGTACTTCACACTTTGAGCTAACAGAATGGTGGAGTAACAAATTACAATTTGATTTCAAACAGTTTATGAGTTATGATAAGAAGTCATTATTGAGCCACCCGTACTTTAATCCAACTGTCAATCTATATCACTGCGAAAAAGAATTCACAGCACACAAATGCACAAATCTGGCTAGACCAGATGATTCGAACCACTTGTACTAGTTAGTGAGTACTGAGCTTAGCTTCGAATCCGATCTGAAGGAGGATGCAACCAGTATCACAAAAATTAACTAATACAAGCACTTCAATTCCTAGATAAAAATTCAAGAACCACTATCAAATCAAACCAATACTAAAGGGGTTGCTTCGCGCACCCCAAAATTACTTAATGTAACCATGCGTGGACAAATTTGGCCTTCTTAATTATTAATTAAATTAAATATAATTACAACAGTTAATTAAAAAGGCTTTTCGCAACTCCATAGCTCCACGCTCGGCTCCTACCTTGATCATATCAAATTTACATTTAATATGCATCCAATAAAATGTTGTCATGTGTCAAGTAATTCCCTTTTTTATAAAATGTCATAACTTTTTCATTTTTGCCCCAATTTTTATAAAAATTATAACAAATTAAATATCTTTTTATGAGCTTTCATATGACACCAATATCATATATGTAATTTAAAAAAAATCCGGTCAAGTCTTGTGAACGGTCGATAAATGTATATTTACTACACCGTATTATTTAAATCTAGTCTAGTCAGATCTGATTCTATTTGTTTGAATTTATATGGTATAAGTGTGAAAATAAAGAGTACTATTTTTTAGATAGTTTTCAGATTCATCCTCCATTGTATAAGAAGATTGTAAAAAAAATATAGAAACATTAATAACGTGTTCTAAATATTTATATAGTAGTTGTTTGATGATAGTTAGAAAGTGTAATTCTGATTATATTAGGAATTTAAGTGTATTCGGAAACATGTTACACAAAATTTTGGAAATATTAAATCTGTTTTTATTTTAAAGAAGCATGGTGTCAGATGCGGCTACGTAATTTAACTTACACCACTTTTATTTTAAAGAAGAAGCATGGTGTCACAAAGTTGGAAAAGTTTCAGCACTGAGGGTGCGCCTAGCAGTTAATTCGGCTACGTGAGGGTAAGTCTGTCCAATAATGGAAAATATGGGGTGCGCGTGGTAAGTTTGATGGTGCGCCGAGATGCTCCGATACTAAATTGTTCGAATCTTGGTTCCTAAAAATATTTTTTCCACCTTAAAAAATAAGCACATTTTACCACACAAAAATGTTGAAAATTTCAAACAAGGAAAAAAATACTTTTTTTAATCTTTAATCATTTCAAACTCCAAAATTAATTTAGTAAACACTTGGTAGAATGTTTTTTAGTTTTCATTTGTAAATAAAATAGGAGAATTGCTTTTATTTTTATTTTTTTATCATAAAAGAGCGACCATTATATTAAATTCGAGAACACATACAAGACAACCTTCAGACAAATTTGCATATCCAATCGTGAACCCTAGGAGTAGACTTAGAATCAGACACCTCATACAAAGGCTTCACGATACAACCTCGATACAACCTCTCGTCCGCACCGCGTTCATCCGCTAACACTATCTCCTCCGACATAGTTGCAATCCCAAGCGTTAGAAAACTTAAAATCAATATAATCTGCCGCTCCAAACCCATATTGATAGGGACAGCGAGAAATCTCAACCCCTACAAAGAGGAGAGACGGCCGTTAGGGTTATATGATATCAATAAAGGTTTGATATCATTGTAGCAAAAAAAGACATGTAATTCAAGTACTAGTACCGCCAAAATAACTAAAAACACATTAGATGCACATTTACAGATAAATATTACTACGTATTATATTTCAAATCCCAGAACCACTATTTACAATAATAAATCTCATAATCACAACCATCTTGAATATTGTTTGAGATACTTTTACAACTATGAAATTCACATGATGGAATGTGATTTAATTTGCAAAAATGAGCTTAGTATATTCATCCGCATATACAATAATTTATAACTTTCATTTTCAGCAGTTCAATTTGTAATGTTATGATTACTATTAGTATTACTAGTTATACTTAGGGATGGGCTGGGATGGATCGGCCCGGTACTGTGGAGGCCCAACCCGACCCGCCAGGCGGTACCGGGACTGGGAGCCCAAACCGGGGGTAACAAAGGTGAACTCCAAATTTAAACGGTTCAATTCAACAGTTCTCCAGTTCCTGATTCCAAATTCTCACCCCTAGGATGGGTTCTATTCTATTTACCTGGATCATATTCGATTTGATGTAGCTATAATTAGGGGTGGACTAGGACTGCTCAGCCCAACCCGGCCCAGGTCCAGCCCAGTACTGTGCAGGCATGAACCAACCCGGTGAACCGGGACCAGGCCCAGGGCCCGGGGAATTCAATAGGCGGGCTACGAGCGTCAAAAGAGGTGGACCAGCCTTGTCGATCTAGGCTCGGTCCGGGCCCAATTATTATTATTTTTTTTTTAATTTTTCCCAATTTGGCAGCTAGGTGGGTCAAGGGGTGGAC